TAAAAGAGAATTTATTAGACTTTGAATGCTACACGGGCGTATGTACTTATTATTTTGACCATAATGTACATATGTACAGTCATGGACAGAGAAATAGCACACTTGAGCATGTTATAAAACGACATTTATTAATAATGTAAACAAAAAACACATTTCCACTCCAGTAGTCCAAAGTTCTTCAGCATTTTTGAATGTTTTCTTAGCATTCCGCATCTTAACATCGCTCCATAAATTCGTCATCTGCAGTTATACATATGCATGACACCTGGAGTGGTGGATGCAATCGGCTAGATTATGGCTGTTTCATCGCTCCAAAGTATTATTTTTCAAAATTTTACGTTCTTTTCTAAATGCTCCTTAGCAAAGTTCAGCCGTGCTCTTATTTTGCTTTTGGACAGCAATAGTTTTTCTCTCGACTCATTCGTCCAAACAACTGAGCATCATTGAGACGCCTTCGTGCATGTCCACTGGATACGTTTAACCCAAATTCCTCATTTATTTTAGTCATAAGCTCTCGGGAACATGTAAAACTCTTATATTTTTTAATAATGGCGGTATCAGCGTGTTATGCTGATACAATCGACATATGATCAATACCAAATTTCGTTCGCATATTTTGATAAACTRACGAAGAAATTTTTATAATCCCGATAAATTAAACTTCACCCAAAACTTAGTTGGCTCGAAACCGTTTTTAGACCAAATTGTTCAAAATGATCCGTAGAAGATTTTCATCAAACGAGATTTTTCACTTTTTTGGCTACCTTTATGTAAATCGACCCGATCTAAAACATATACATATGTATATCTATGCATACACATACATATGTATGTACCTAAATTTGTACACATAATTTTGGTCCTTATGTAATCTTGTTGCATTTCGCAGCTTGCGCTCGCCTACTTTTTTATTTTTATACAGCTTTTTGTACTGTTGTTGAGTTCGTTCTGTGCTTTCTAGCACACGTGTAGCTTTTAGCATCTCTAAGTACATGAGTATGTACTTACATATATACATAT